TCCACAAATTCAATCTTATCAATGACTGCTTCCACGCTTTCTGTAATTATTTCGTTGTTTCAAACTCTCGCAGTTTTGTAAAAGCAAATTGTGGGTACTATACACTTAGCAGATTTATCTAATTGAGCGAGAGCCAATTGAGATCTGCGGGTGCGTAGAACATTTTAAAGTACCTACCTCTGGCAATCTCAATATCCTTAACGCCGCTGTCATATTGATGGTCCTGGTCAAGCTCTTGGTATTTGACTCTTTTCCACCCACGGACGTTTTTCCATCCACACCAGTCAACGGACGTATCACACAGTTGATCATCTAAATTGATTAACAACATATTTGTTCCGTTTTAATTGAAGAATGAATTAAATTCAGTATCGGTTGAGTTAAATTTAGGATAGATTAGGGTGTTCGTGAACGATCGGCGTAAGGGTTGGTGTACTTGAATCCTGATCGAGTGGTTTGGGTTCGAGTCATGACCGGGTTCAATTTGTAATGCGAGCAAGATACTATTTTCACAGTATCTCTCTACACTAAGGTGTGTAATGGAGTTGGGCGGGGGGAAGGAGCTAGGATTGACAAGTATCTCATCCTGGGGGAAGTGGAAAAACATGCACAGGGATGAGGGCCTGCACTTAGCATATGAATGGAGTAACAGGATAAATAGTTTACACCACGTTATTATATGAACGAATTTAAGTATAGTTCTATTATCAGATCACTTGGTAACCACTTAGTACACGTCTTAGTTCTGACAGCTATGCAATGAGCCCCCTTCAATAAGAAATCTGCTGTCTATTCCAAAGACTACTGAAACGGCTTACTATGCCGAGAGATCTTTCTCGGTTGTTGCACCAAGGTTCTGGAATGACTCACGAAATATCATTGTTCCTCTCTGGATTGTTTTGAATCAAGACTAATCAAAGCTTTTTAGCCTTTTTTAGAATAGGGTTTAAGACTGTAAGAGGCATTGAGACTGTCTATGTACAATTCAGTTTTAATATTATATTATTCATTTTTAATGTTACATCTAGCTCTCTGCCATGCCTTCGGTATTTTGTTATTTTGTGAACTTGAAGCAACCGGTAAATAGTCTCCATAACAGAACACACACATCAATAAAATACTAAATAGCTCGTTTCAAACTTGAATAGCCTTTGAAAGGTTAAAAATGATGGAGGAAAGCCTGCAGTACCTTGACAGCCATACAGCTCCACTCTCATTGATATGTGGCCAGCCCAAGCTTGCGGTAGAAAGCGGATGTAACGTGCCTTGATTGGCGGGCTTAATTCATGATATACCACAGTGTCCTGGTCGATGTTTCCAGTAAAATTCTAAATGGCAAAGATCGTAGCATGTATAAAGGACTTATCGTGGTCAGAATTGATCCCTACAACTTGGATTCTTTCATTAACCAAGTAATCTTCATCTTGTCTAACAACTAGAGAACATCAACATGCGTGGATAGGTGTCAAGACTAATTACTTTTTCAAAGAATTCTCCAGAAAATAAGCCATTTAATCTCCTTGCCGCTTGAAGGTGAATCCTCTATATTTTAAAACTGGCAAGAATTTGACCCAAGAAATGTAAGAAATGTAAGAAATGTAAAATAGTTTTTTTAGGTCGACATGTATTTCACCTTATATGCAGTTTTTCCTTGATCCCTGTAGTACTGGAAGTTCACTCCATCGTTACTATACTGCAGTTTGTACTTGGTTACCCACTGGGGGTAATTGTTTCTTCCTTGCGTTGCTACACGTGTCACTTCGGTGTGCCGACTTCCCAGATCAATCTGGAACCATTGGTTAACATCGTTGCTGCGAGCAGACCAAGATCCCGCTTTGCCTGAAGTTGCTTTAAAATGAAGTCTCCCATGGATAACGGCATGACTGGAATCCAGTTGCGAAGAAGCACTTATTTGACCATCGGAGATTGAGCCATCTTCCATGCCAAGAGCGCCCAGACAAGCTAAAGATTTTATGTCGTCATTTATTTAAGAAATAAAAAACATTTTCCTTGTTTCTATCGAGCTGGGATGACGAGAATGCTGCGGGAACACGAGCCGATCGATGAGTGTTTCTACAGCTTTTTCGAGTTCTCCCAAACTTTCACGACTATGAGCTCGAGATTTCTATCACGCATAGCAGTCGAGAGCGAATAATCTAATTGTTTTAGTACAAATCTAGCAGTCGTTCAAAACTTTAATCTAAATCCTCTTCAAAGACACTTCGAAAACAGAAAAAAGCGACCCCCAGCGCACGCTGCTACGCTAGTCACTATCACAACAGAATAGATAGTGAGTAGCGTAGCCAATCAGAGAACGGCATTCATGATAGAACGCTAGTAGATTTATGCTAAAAGTCGATAGAAACACGAGGAAAATGGTTTTTTTTCATCTGCTTTTTTTGGTTAGAAAACAGACAAAAGAAAATAAGGAACAACATGACACGAGGATTTCTTTTTAATCCGCATTCAACGCGCGTATTTTTTTTGAGTTATTTTTTAAAACAAATAAGTAGATGAAGAAAATGATGATGTAAGGATTCTTAAATGACTAGTTACAAAAGTATACGAGTTTTGTCACAGTCGAAAGGGTCAGTGTTTTGAATGTACCAGAAACTAAAATTTTTAAAGTTGTCCATTTTAAGCTTCCTTTGTTCATCTATTATTATTATTATCATCATCATCATCATCATCATTTTCATTATTATTATTATTATTATCATTATTATTATTATTATTATTATTATTATCATTATTGTTCTCCATAGAGATAAAGGAAAAATATTCTACGCTACCTGGACAGCCATACAGCTCCACCCTCATCGATATGTGCCCATACCAAGCCTGTGGTTGGAAACGGATGAAACGAGCTCTGATTGGCGGGTTTAGTTCGTTAAAAATGATAGTATCTTCGTCTTTGTTTCCAGCAAAGTCCTAAAACACAACCATTGTGAAAACATCGGTTGACGTCCCATCGACAAAGTTAAGTTAATCTTCGGTCAAGTGGGATTAACATTTCATTTGTTGACCGAGATAGGCCCCATTCTTTTCTATTGCAATCACAGAAAACTGTTCGTCATGGTCGAAACGTCGACAAGTAATGCTCGAATCATAGTTACCTAAACTTGCCTATTACTCTATTGTAGGATTCTAGCTTAATTTGTCTTTAATACTGATGCAGAAGTGAAAACAAGTGTTAGCAATTAGCCACTTTTTTTTCGTTTATGATAACGTCTCCTTGTACTGACATGAACCGATGGTTGATGTGTAGTTTGCCACGTACCCTTTTGTTGTATCACTGATAAACAAAAGTCTTAGAAAATGAGAATCCCCTTTAATCTGTTCACTTTATGACCTGCGAACGATTCCTTCAGTAGAACTGATATTCTTTAGTTACTTGACCCATCCACCACAACTTATGTTCTGCCGAACTATTTTGAATACTTAACTGTTAAGTCAGGGAGCTCTATAATAGATAGCAATAGAGCTGTTTCTTCACCAAATGATTCTATCAGAGCAGTACGACTATGTAATTTCAACTAAGATAGTTTTTTTTTCTCACTTAATGCAATTATAAGACGCGTTGACAAAAATATCTATATAAAGTTAATTTTT